CACAAATCGAAATAAAGAATCCTCTCTCGTCGAACAAACTACTCCTTTTCGTTGCTTTCATTTTTGCTACACTCTAAGACGAAATAAACTGTAGATACTTCCAAGTTTTATGTGAATTATGAACAGTGAAAAGGGGGATTCGGAGAAAGTTCATGGTCGCTTTTCTCCTGCGACCACGATCATGTTGCACCTATATATAATGTTAATATATTTTATTCGTTACTGAATAAATATCCTTTTTCAGAAAGGTTTTATGCTGGTGACGGGAAATAAATTGTTGAGGACGTCGTGAATCCTTTTTTCAAACACCATCATTGCTCACGATAAAATAAACCAACAACAAATTCTTATATCAAATGTATGCTCGCGGAGCGACCGCGAAATCTCGTGGAGCCCTCACTGTAAATCCCTTTTTGATACCAATAAGATTAGAGATTATTCCAGCAGATTTCATCAATTTACGTGATGAATCTTCATCGTTAGATGCTCACATTCACATTCTGCGTCCGGGCATGGTACAAACGTAAAATACGAATTAGGCGACACCAAGTTTAGAACTAACCAGTTCCGTGATCCCATGGAATTGCGGTGCGGTCATAGTCGTCCGGTAGCAAATCTTGCAGCGACAATCTAAGAAATCGGGAAATTAATATTACCGATTCGCCATTTTCTGGATTTGAGACTTGCGTTGAAATTCTCAAACGTACCGAGCAGCAATATTTTAAATTTAAAAAGACCGAGTATCTGCGCGGTTATTTAGTGACCGCTGACCGGGTGACATTCAAATGACCCGGAGAGCAAAATATATTTTTGAGATTTCCACAGCGGAAAAATGCATGCAAAAATGACCTGAAATATTCCCGTATCAGTCCATAGACAAATGCTGAACCACATTTAACGAAATATTTGATTACGGTAATATTCATCATTAATAAATTTTAAAATTGGATAACGAGTATAATGCAACTCCTCAAAAAGGAAGAAATCGTGATGTGATTTTAAAAAATGACATGAAAATTTCTGGAAAAAATCTATGCAATCTGAGTTAATCAAACGGGTAAACAGCAGCTTATGCTGTAATCACACAATAAGTCGCTTAGTTGCCTCTCAATGAAACAAAATTCAAGAATAGGAAATGTGGTTCAGAAGGTCCAAGTTTTCTTTTTTTTTAGACATTTTCTGACGTTATTTGGGTCAGCAGACAAAGATAAAATGCTTACGCCATTTTCCGCGGTTGCTTCCGATTTACTTCCGGAGCCGAGGAACCATTTTTCGGTTCCAACAAAATGAAGACAATTATCAGCAACACAATCTTTTTTGACCTTAGCTTCATGCTTCTGTGGAATAGCCGATCTTCGATCAATGGGTTGCAGCTGCCCAAAAATGTCACTTAATTTTTGTTGCTCAATTTCAAATATCGTGAACAGCCTCTCTCGGGATTTCACCTTCTCGAAACGAATACAGTATACAGGTTCGTGCGCGGTGAAGTGGTGGCCACGTCTGTGAACCGAAGGAACCCCTGGACCTCATATTAAGCAGATCTTGGGGTCCATGGGTAAAGAACAAGAGCTGCGCAAACTCCTGACGAAGTGCGGGATTCGCTCCAGGCCCTCTTCATTGATGTCAGCAGAAATTGCGAATGCTAAAATGTACTCCCGAACATATTTTGAAAAAAAAAATTTCGCATCGGATTTTGGAATTTTAGTCTGAAGAATTTACAGAATACAGTACTTTAATTGATTCATTCGCCAAATGATGGATGAACGCTGATCTCTGGAAAAAAAAAAACCGTCGACTCTTTTCACGCATTAGCCCGTACACAATCCCAGCAAAAAATCTGCAGGCAAAAAATGACTACACCCGCGTAAAAATTATTTTTCTCTTCACTACATATACTGTATGGTGTATACGACTGCTTAACACATTGAAATTTATACTGTGGAACCTACACCATACGATGTAGGACCAGGGCTCCGAATAGCCACGCCCAATTTTCAAGTATAACATAGAATTAAGATGGCAGCATACGAAATTTCAATTCGAGCCGCTTGTGTTTCCCTCGCATCATTTTGCATCGAAAAAATAAATTTTTGAAAAAATCGAATCGGCATGGGGAGCTTGAGAAAGCTTGAAAAATATCACACATGTATTAAACTTACCAGTAAAGCATTAATATTTTTTTTAATGATGCAAGTACTGTACATGCATACTCGTACGATGCTATAGCCATTCCAAATGCTGGGTCTATGCGGATAAAATCGAAGTCCATCTCACCATGCTTCTATGCTATTTGTACAATTTGTCAGGTCGTTGAAGAAACGTTCTCGTTTACTTCGTCGAATTTTTGCTGGCCTTGTATTAACATTAATGCTTGATCCTCTTCAGTCAAATTTAAACAGTCATTATATAGGGTGTATAATCGAGGTACTATCCACTGCCACGCGATGATAATTGAAAAATTAAGGTACGCTTCAGCCGACTTCAAACACGAGAGCGGGAACAGCATCGTACTTCTGGCGGTGCAAATGAACGAAGAAGTATTTTTAGTTCTGCATAAGTATCCAGCAAATATCATTCGCCAGATTAGACGAAGTGTTTGCCGACCCGCATCAAGTTACTGCGCTGCTCCATACGCAAATTGCGTTCAGCTCGCACACGTACATACTGTATGGTAAATTGTCCTTGAATCTGACCCAAAGGATGAAAATATTACTTTCCTTATAAGGCAAAGGACATGATAGCTCTAAACAAATCCCGTTATCGGAGATTTGGCGCAAATTAAAAGAGGACCGCGATGTCATGAAATTTTTCCCTCAACCATCAATGAATGCTCAAGTAGATCACAGAATAGAAACGGCGACTAAGTACAGTAATTTCAATTCAAGTCGCTTGTGTTTCCCTTGAATCAAAACATAAAGTAATAAAAATTAATGTACAATAATGATAAATTCATATTGATCGTGAAATTCAACGTCCAGCTTGACAAAAAATGAAATGCTTGCAATAATCTGCTTGCAAATAAGCTTCTTCAATAATCTGAGGGGGAAAAATGTGCCACGAACATTATTACGCCTCGCCCGCGTAATTAGAGCAACAACAGAACCAAAAAAGAAAGAGAAAAAAACGGAAGAAAATAGGATGATATCCATCAGGCACTTCGTCATCGGAAAATATTCCTTTGGAATCAATAGCAGCAGCAGCATAACAGTGAATGCGTTTGTTATCCGGGACACTCTTACGGTCTCACGCAAGGATTGCATCTTCAGCTGCTGATGAGAAGCTGGGATTATCATTTCCCGACAGAGGGCTCAATGTGTTCGAATGCCCACACAAATAGATCATTCAGGACTGCTACGTGCGAGATATCTGCCGACAATTCCGTAGCCTAGTTCGAGGGCGTAACCGTAGAGAAAAAGGGAGAAAGCATATTCATACCCGCGGGATGACGAACACGGGCGGTCCGTTAGCATACAGGTCAACCCTACTTCCGTTATTGCGACGACGCCAGGAGAAGTATGAGACACCAACAAAACTCACTGCGCCCTTTACCCTCCTTAAACGTTAAGGCAGTTTCAGCACGTAAATATGATTTTTCCGTCGGAAAAATGAGGCAGTTTGCGGATTCGCTGGATACTTCGTTGAATCGAGAAAAAACAATCCAATGTAGAGATCTATGTTCCCCAAAAAATAATTGACAACACAACATAAAGCACGAATGCATTGACGGAAGGAAATTCAGAGGTCTATAATTTGCATGGATTTTCGAAAAGAATTTTTCGGTCATTTTTCATAATTACAGTTTAACCTTGATAACTCCGAATGAAATTGTCTAAATTTCAAGAAACAACTCATTAAAAACCTTCCTAGCTCAAAGCTTTCCCCCTCAAACCTTCCTAACTGGAATTTTCTAGGGCCTTCTGGCTATTATTTTTTCAAAACAGGGAACTTTATGTTTTTGGAAAAGAAATTAAAGGCTAATTGGGAAAATGAAGCCTTGTCTCCAAGTTCAGCATCCTGTCAACTCACTTGAAAGCAATTCAAGGCTCAAAATATCACTAATTACAATTTTCTGTATAGTAATGTTTTCTTCCTTTCCTCCAACAAGATTGTTTGTTTCCCTAAATCAAAACTTTTAAAACTCTAAGTGCTTTACAAGTCTCATCAAGTTTGAATCGAATAGGTTCGACTTTACTGCATAAATATATAGCATATCTTTATTGTTGAAGCATTAAATTTGACACATCCATTGTTTGATCGTAAAATTTCAACTGCAATTGATGAATATTGCAGTACTGCACATCAATCCCCGATTCAGCGCCATGATTTTCCTGCCACATTCGGCGGCACTAAATTGAAGGCAGCATTATATCAAAGGAAAGTTCATCAAAGGATTATAAAGGTATTCAACCGCTAACCTTTTGATCGAAAATTGTTGAACAGAGTACTGACGAAGTGTACTGAAGAGAAGAACACCGTGGCCTTAGATGGCTGTAGATTATCCCCCCGAAAATGTACCTGTACAGTATATCGATTGAATAAGAAGGCCAAATGAACATTAATTTATTCAATATCCTTTCAATAAGACAAGTGATTCATTAATAGACCTGTACATCATGTTCTGCAAGAATTTTCATTTGGCGATTACTTAATCATCATTAGCATAACGAAAATTTAATAGCCCGTGCCCCCACAAAGAAATGCAGGACTTCCTGCTCTACACAGAAAAAAATACTGGACAGTACAGTATACATTACTGTAGTACAGCAGTTTCGAAATAGAGTACACTACGTGCACCGTAGTGCAATATAAATGTCATTGACTGCACTATACAGTACTGTACTACAGTGTTTAGAAGCTGGCCAGTGGAAGCGTCCATATGAGAGGCCATCAGGGACATGGATGACGATCAGGACACTCGTTCAGAGAAGCATCAGCAAGGTCGCTCGTATACGGTATCAGCTCCATAATGACATTCCACCATTCGTTCAAGTCCGCAGCCGCGAGGCGGCGTGTTTATTTACCCAAGCCTTGCTGGCTTCCCCTGTCTTACTCTCCGCTGGGTGTCGCGTGGAGTATCGTGGTGCTCCGCCGTTCGCGTAAAAATAAATCGGAAACCTAAATTCAGTGAGTCCGCATTTACGCAGTTAACCTTCGACGGTTGTGTAGACTGAAGTGCCGCTGGTTTCAATAAGATCGATCAACCATGAGAATCATCGGAACCCGCTTTCCCAACAGAGTTCGATCTCTTCTGGAGCAGATCAGCGATGCCTCGTAAGTTACGTAATGACTTACAGCAGATGATATTTTCAGCGTCAAAAACTAAAACAAAAGGATGATTTTTTCCTGAAAAGCCCCCCCCCCCCCCCCCCCCCCCCACCCCCCCC